AGACAATTAGCATAGGCCAGCCTGTATTTTGCATGTATTAATGCATTAATGGCACAGCAACCCCAGGAATTAGTTACTAATAGAATCTCAGGAACAGAAGGGGCAGTGGTGGAAGCAGGACTTGCCCCCAGGCTGCAGACCCTGTGCCTTCAGCTCTGCCTTGATTACCCCCGCCCCCACGTGCACCCCTCCCTGACAGGGCAGACCCCTGACAGTTTGCTGTGAGTGGTTGCACCCCATCTTCAATGGCTTCTATTTCACATTGATGGGTGGTTTTACTCGTGTTTAATTTTCTGTATGTTGTACGATTTTCCTGATAATTTTGAGGAAGGAAGGGAATATCGTGTTGTACAAGAGAGCATTCTGTAGTAAAAAAAAAAATAAAATAACCAGGGCTATTTGACAGCCAAACATTGTCTGTCTTTACTTGTGAAGCTTAACTCTCCTCCCTTTTCTGGACCCGTATGCAAATATAGTGAGCCTCATATTGGATGTCTTTCTTGAATCTTTGTAGAAGAGAAATAGAGGGACCATTTATATTCTTCTTAAAAAAATTTTAAATAATCAAACGGTAAAATTAACCTTTTTTTCCTTTTTGGTGCATAGTTCTATGAATTTTAACACATGTATAGGTTAATGTACCCATAATCACAATCAGGTTACAGAAGAGTCGCATCACCTGACAAAGACGCCCTCCTGCTACCCCTTCGTAGTAGCACCTTATATCCCCTGGCTAACCCATGGCGACCACTGATCTGCTATCAGTATACTTTTGTCTTTTTGAGTATGTCATATAAATGGAACCATACAGTTTATAACCTTTGGAGACTGGCTTTCTTCATTCAGCATTATTCCTTTGAGATGCAGCCAAATTACTGAGTGTATCAATACTGTGTTTCTTTTTTATTGCTGGGTAGTGTTCCATTACATGGATACATCACAGTTTGTTTATTCACTTGCTGAGGGACGTAATGGTTACTTCCAGATTTTGGCGATCATGAATGCTGTAAAAATTCATGCACAGATTTTTGTGTGAAGTCTTCATTTCTCTAGGGNATCATGAATGCTGTAAAAATTCATGCACAGATTTTTGTGTGAAGTCTTCATTTCTCTAGGGTAAATATCCAGGAATAGGATGCTGGGTTATATATTAAGTGACTGTTTATAAGAAACTTCTGAACTGTTTTCCAGAGTGGCTGTGTTACCGACAGACCAGGCTCGGATTGCCCTCTCACACTAAACAAATGACTTGAAAGTCCAAAAGTTGTTGCAAGGATTGGAAGGTTTACTCAGATTACCAGTACTCAACTAGAGGTCTAACAAAGCAAACAAACAAAGGGAAAAGAGGAGCAGTGGGGTCCAGTTTATCCTAGTCCCAATCGG